AGATCCACTTCCAGCTGCTAGGGTAGTGGCCTAGGTGGAATCCCTGCTAGGAACAGGATACGAAGGCCTCGCAGCCTCACTACACAGCAGTCCTGGTGTGGAGCTGTGTTGCTGGAGCTAATGGACCAGGCAGGATCAGAGGTTGCCCAAGTGCAGTTCATGAGCCTGGGTGGGTTCAGGGGTTCAGGGGAGGCCGGACCTCCTCCAGCATGGGGCTCCCTAGGGTGAGGTCAGGTGCAGAACCGTGGCAGTCACGTGATTCGATGCTGGGCCCCGCGAACCCCGGGGCTTCCTGATGGGCTTTCCAGTTAGGAGCTGCCTGCTCAGGGCTGAGAGGAGAAGAACCCCGAGCAGTACGTTGAGAGAGTAAATGTTTTGTTTCTTGGAGAGAGTTGCTGATGGAGTCACAGGAGGAAACATGAGGGCTGGGAAAAGCGAGATGGGAGAATCAATATGAACATTGTTGTTTCTTCTTTCTTTCTTTTTTTTTTTTTTTTTCCTAAGCGAAGTCATGACTTGAAATCTGGAGAGCCTGAGGAAGGATTATCTCTAAGAGTATACAAAGATTTCCCACCGAAACCTGATTTTTCCTTCCCTGCCCCGCCCACCCCCTCCCAGCCAGCCTCAGGGAGCCACAGGCCCAGTGCCAACACCAGGTGGCGCCAACAGGCCACGCAGGCACCTCGCAATTGGGATTGTTTCTGGTCAGCTCACGGGTCCCTGACTTAATGGGGGATCCTGGACGCTGCAGTCAGGTGACCTGGATTCAAACTGCGGCCCTGATCTCACTGTGCCGCTTTCCCGCCTGGTGCCTCAGTTTCTTCAACTGTGAAATGCTGAGGACATTCCTGTACTTACCTCCAGGGTGGGTTTCTCAACAGCAGCCCTATTAACAGTTTGGGCTAAAGAATGCCTTGTGGAGGGTGCTGTCCTGGGCATTGTGAGAGTTATGCCCGAAGCACCCCACTGACTCCCTCCCGCCAACCCCCACGTGACAACCAAAAATGTCTCAAGCTTTTTGGGGGTCTCCTTTTGATCTGGAAGCTGCACTTAGGCATTTTCCCACCTGACGAGCTCATCTCTGTTTTGGTCCAAATAAGGCCTCTCTTTTTTAAAAAATATTTTTTCTTTAAAGATTGTATCTATCTTTTAAACAAATCAATTTTCTTCCTTTATCTTTGCATTCAGTTAATCCTTCCACACCCTTTCTTTAGTATATTTTGAAATGTATCCATTCTAATTCTAGTAATTAGCATCTCTAACTTGCATGATAACCGCTACTACCCCAGAGCAGCTCTGATTCCTTGAGTACAGGGAATGGGGTGCGTGTTCCTGATTCTGCTCTGGATGATGTAATTCAATTTATTTTACGTTATTGTCTAGGATATTGCTTTTCATTTGTAAAATATAACTGTGGATGTGGCTTGAATCACTGGGTGGTTTTATTTCTTTATTCATATAATATTTGTTGTGTACCTATGCAAATCAAATACATGGCATGATATTGGTTCATGGATCAAACCACAGCAAATAGGAAACTATATTAAGGACCTTACAGGCAGGAGTGGAGGCATGTGCCTATAGTCCTAGCCATTTGGGAGGCTGAGGCAGGAGAATTGCTTGAGCCCAGGAGTTTGAAGTTACAGTCAGCTCAGCTATGATTACCATTGCATTTCAGCCTGGGCAACTAAGCAAGACCCTGTCTCTGAAAAAAAGAAAACAGATGTAGTAAAGTGTCTACATGTACTCTATGTCTCAGGAGACTCATGTCCTGCAATTTTTCTAAGTGGTGTCTCCATGCGATTTTTCATGAATGTTTGCCTGGTATTTCTTTTCTATCCTTTTACTTTCAACTTTTCTGTATCTTCTACCAATAATATGTCTTTTAAAAAATAGTCTATGTTTGTTTATTTATTTATTTTGGCCCCTCTGTGTTATTTGCCTTGTAATTGGGGTGGTTGAGTTATGTTTAATGTCATTGTCGCCCTGGCTGGGTTTAAGTCCACCTTGTCATTTGCTGCTTTCTAACATTACCTCTTTTTTGCTCCATTATTTTTCTTTTCTTGCCTTTTTTAAACTAATCAAAATCTTTTCACTATTTTACCCTTCTTAAGTGTTCTAATTACCTATTGTCTTATCATTCCCTTAATCACCCAAGAAAGAACAATATTAATCTGTAACTTATTGTAACCAATTGGAAACCGTAACTTCCCTTTCACACACCTGTGTAAATAGTCCAGGAGAGAATTGGTGCTCTGGCTCTGAGACACCTGAGACACTGGGGGGCAGGGGGTGGAAGCAGGAGAGTAACTGGATGGTGAAGCTGTAGCTGCAGAGGCATCCGGGCCCCTCACCTGCACTCCTCGTAGATGTCTCCTCCACTGAATGCCTGCGATGCCCTCTCCTCCGTATGCTCCTGCCAGAGTCTCCCCGTCTCCACTGACAGCAGCTCCACCCTTCTACTCACTCAGTCCATTACTGTGGGTGTCCTTGATTCTTCTTTCTCAGATCACACACACAATTGATTAGCAAATGCTATGATGCAAACAGAATCCCATCACTTCTCATTATTTCTACTGCTCACACCCAGGTCAAAGTAACCGACATCTCTGTCCTGAAATGCTACATACCTTTCCCACTGTTTTCTCTACTGCCTTGCTTGTACACCACCTGTCAATTCTGTTCTCAGTAGAGCAGCCAGAGAGAAGCTTTTAAAGAATAAGTCCTACCACGTCCCACTTTTCAAAACTGTACCCCAACACCCCATATCATTCAGAGCGAAAGAGAAAACCCTGCCCACACCCTCCAGACCTGTCTGCTCTGGCCACACCTCAGAACTCATCTCAGTTATTCTGTCCAGCCCTTCTGACCTCTTTCCACTTTGCAGAGCACAGACACCATCCTGACCTAGTATAATTGCACGGGAGCCTCCTTGCCTGGAAAGAACTTTCCTAGACATCCTCATAGATATCTCCTCATGTCCTTCAAATCTTTCTTCAAGACCTAGAAGCAGCTTCTCTGCTCCTTCTTCAATCTCTGCCAGGCTCAGCACACTTTCCCCACCATGTCCATCAGGGTGACCCAGAAGTACTACAAGGTATTCCACACTGGCCCCCAGGCCTTCAGCATCTGCTCCTACATGAGTGGGCCTGGCACCCACATCAGCTCCTTGAGCTTCTCCTAAGTGGGCAGCAGTGGCAGCAGCTTTGGGGTAGCTTGGGCACAGCAAAGGTCTGGGTGGAGGCTGTGGCAAGGCTTGTGGAATGGGGGCATCACAGCCATCATGTTTAACCAGAGCCTGTTGAGTCCCCTTAAGCTGGAGGTGAATCCCAACACCCAGGCCAAATGCATACAGGAGAAGTAACAGATCAAGACCCTCAATGACAAATTTGCCTCTTTTGTCAACAGGGTACAGTTCCTGGAGCAGTAGAGCAAGATGATGGCGACCAAGTGGAGCCTCCTAAAGCAGCAGAAGATGACTCAGAGGAGCATGGACCACATGATCGAGAGCCACATCAACCTTCAGCAGCAGCTGGACACTCTGGGCCAGGAAAAGCTAGAGCTGGAGGCGGAGTTTGGCAACACACAGGGGCTGATGGAAGACTTCGAGAACAAATACGAGGATGAGATCAATAATCATACAAAGATGGAGAATGAATTTGGCCTCATCAAGAAGAATGTGGATGAAGCTTACATGAACAAGGTAGAGCTGGAGTCTCACGTGGAAGAGCTGACAGATGAGATCAACTTCCTCCGGCAGTTGTGTGAACAGGAGATCCGGGAGCTTCAGTCCCCGATCTCAGATACATCTGCGATGCTGTCCATGGACAATATCCGCTCCCTGGACATGAACCGCATCATCACTGAGATCCAGGCCCAATAAGAGGAGTTCACCAACTGCAGCCAGGCTGAGGCTGAGAGCCTGCCCCTGATCAAGTAGGAGGAGCGGTAGGCTCCGGCTGGGAAGCATGGGATGACCTTTGTCACATGAACACGGAGATCTCAGAGATGACCTGGAACCTCAGATGGCTTCAGGCTGAGATGGAGGGCCTCAAAAACCAGTGGGCCTCCCGGCAGGCCATCATCACAGATGCCAAGGAGCATGGGGAGCTGGCCATTAATAAAGCCAAGCTGTCCGTGCTGGAGGCCGCCCAACAGTGGGCAAAGCAGGACATGGCATGGCAGCTGTGCCAGTACCAGGAGCTGAGGAACATCAAGCAGGCTCTGGACATCGAGACCGCCTCCTACAGGACGCTGCTGCAGGGCAAGGAGGGCTGGCTGGAATCTGGGACATGGAATGTGAATATCCATAGGAGCACCACCAGTGGCTACTCAGGTGAGCTGAGCTTGGCCTGCAGGGGCCTCACAAGCCCTGGCCTCAGCTACTGCCTGGGCTCCAGCGTTCACTCTGGTGGGGGCTCCAGCTCGTTCCGCTGCACTAGCTCCTCCAGGGTCATGCTTTTGAGAAAAATTAAGACCATTAAGACCCGTGGTAGGAAGCTGCTGTACAAGTCCTCGAATGTGCTGCCCAAGTAAACTGCCACGGCAGCGTCTCTCAATCTACCCCTTCCTGTGACTGCCCCAGAGCCTGTGGGGGAGGCCACTGTGCAGGGGAGCATTGGGAACAGGAGACCCACCTGAGGCTCAGCCCTCAGCCTGCCAGTGGGGGAGTTCACTGCCTGGGGTACCCCCACTTGCACATGCTTTCAGCTACAATGTAAGTGTGTGTGTGTCTGTGTGTGTGTGTTTCCAAAATAAAGCCACAATTAGCTCTGCCGACTGTGAAAAAGAAATCTTTCACTGAAGGTCACATTTGAAAGAAGGCCCACACTGACCACGGTACAGCAGCCACCTCCCTGTCCCCACAGCCCACACTCTGCATCACCCCCCACAGCATTTGCCACCATCTAACACGAGCATTTTCCTTCCTTGCTCTGTGTTCATAGTGTATCTTACCTCTGCCTCTTCTCCCTAGAACATATGCACCACGAGGCCAGAAATTTCTTTGTTTTTACTTTAAAGGTGTTTTCCAATGTAAAAACAGTCATTTACCTAGAAGACAAAAAATGTCAGTTCAATGAATGATCACCATAGATCACCTCCCTATTTGAAAGACAGTAGCTTTATTAATGTAGCCTCAGGCCAAATGCTGTTTTGTGGCAGCTACAGCACAACATCCTCTCACACCAACATCAGTGCCACTAGCGCTTTTGTCACCAGTGCTGCTTGTGTGTCCCCCACCCCTCATCCCTCCTCCCACACCAACCCTCCTGCACACTGCAGCACACAATCATATGTCTCTCTTCAGGGAAGATAATCCTAGGATTATAAGTCCAATTTTCTAATTGCGTATAAATCTAAATCAGACTCTGTTTTACAAATCCGTGGGTTTGTATTAGAGTTGGCACAAGGATCACTACAACTCGGGGCAAGAGGAAGAGTAGGAGAGAAAGCAGAAGGAGTTCCAACAGAAAGTTTCCTATGATGAGAAAGTATGGGCCTTCCCCTCTCTGCAAACGTCAGAATCTGGTTCTGGTAGGAAGGCTGGTGAAAAGATGGAAAATACAATCCAGGAAGAGCCCTGGAAGGAGGGCAAGCACTGGACGGGACTGAAAACTCAGTCTCTTGATATCATAAGGACTTCCGTGTGCAGGGACTGCTCTAAATGACATCTGAGTCCCTGTGATCACAGGTCCTGGTGGGACAAGGTTCTACTGAAGGACCAAGGCCATTGGAGCAGCAAAGATGACCCAGCAGAGCAGTGACCACATAAAGCCCACAGTGGCCTGAGCTCCCACTGGCCACAGCCCATCTACTCTCCTCTGCAAGAGATCAGTAGAAGAAACACATAGACTCTGGAAGGTTCTCAGGTCTTCCATTTATTTTGTCTCATAAGTTTTAGTAATCTCCTCCTTTAATTAACTCATCAACCTCTCATGGCAAGAATTTGAAGAAGTAAATTTATATTCAGATTCTAATTTTAAGACGGAAGCAGGAAATTGCAGCTCAGTACACCATGAAATTCACATAGAGATAAAGACATCCAAGCCCCATGTCTCTGGAACAGGAAACATAATTAGGCAGAAACAACATGGGGCAGTGCGGGGAAGGGGGTCATGGAGGACATGGGGGTGGACTGGTCCCCCACCTTCTCACATTATACTAACAGGGATGAAGACACATTTGGACACCTTTGCAGAAAGAGAATTCAGGGTACTCGAAGTCACAAAAGGGAGGCATGAACAAATCTTGATTCTCAGTCGCACACAAGGCAGTTATCTCACACTACAGAGAAAATATTCATGAATAAATTCATATTAGTCACAGTGAGAGGTGACACTCTGAACTGCCCATCGCATACTCAGGACATCTAAGTCAAAGAAACCCCAAAGCACACTCATGTTCCCTCTGTTCCCCACAATACCCCACTTACATCAGGGCCCTTGCCCCCAAGTGTCACCTTTTAAGTTATGAGAGACAAATCAAAGCCCTGGGCAGTGTCAATGACTGGGGTAGAACACAAACAGGACCTGGTCAGAGCCCACAGGAGACATGGCTAGAGGAGGAACTGTGGGCTGGGCCAGCTTCCCCTTGGGCTCCCAACCACAATATCCCGATGATCTCAGGGTTCAGTCCCCTTCATACTTACTTGCAGCCTGTGAGTAGCTCCCTCTGTTTCTATCTGTGGGAATAAAATGTCCTGTGAGAGGCCGAAAAGGAGGCAGGGCTATAAGGTCCTAGAGCAACCCCCTAGTCTTTGATCCCAGAGAATTTTCCAGAAATGTACAACTGCAGATCTAGGGCAAGATCAGACAATAAGAAAGTAGGTGTGGGTCCTGGACCAACTGTCCTCCTGAGGTCTGTCCTCAGCAGGGACCTTCCCCTGTGATTTGTGACTGTTGACAATCAGATCCCCACCACCACAGTCTTCAAAGTGAAAAATCTGTTGTTCATTTTTGCTTTACAAATGAGTAAGTGTTGTCACACAGGGTAGCAGGCTGGGTAGGCCCATGTGTGTGGATGGTGCTTCCCAGTAAGGAGACAGGGCACACTTCAACCTAGGCTTGAAACCCCCACTAGGGCAAGAAAACTGAGACCCCACTCCTCACCCCTTCCCTGGATCTTCTTCCTCCACATCACAGCAGTGACCACAGCTCCAGTGACCACAGCTCCAAGAACACCCAGGCCAGCAACAATGTCCACGAAGGGGATGGTGGGCTGAGAAGACGGCTCTGAGACATGAGGGGAAGGTGAGGGGTCCTGACCCCCAGGACTCAGCCCTGACCCTGCTGAAGGGCTTCAGAAGGGCTCCTGCTTTTCCTGAGAAAAGACATGACCTCTCATCCTCCCCTTTACCCCTTCTCACTCCTTACCCCATCTCAGGGTGAGGGGCTCCAGCAGCCCCTCGTGCTGCACACGGCACGTGTATCTCTGCTCCTCCCCAGAAAGCACCACCACAACCGCCCACTTCTGGAAGGTTCCATCCCCTGCAGGCCTGGTCTCCACAAGCTCTGTGTCCTGGGTCTGTTCCTCCCCATCCCTCTGCCAGGTCAGCATGATCTCCGCAGGGTAGAAGCCCAGGGCCCAGCACCTCAGGGTGGCCTCATGGTCAGAGATGGGGTGGTGGGCAATGTACGTCTTTGGAGGATCTGAGAAGAGTCAGAAAATTCAGGCACTTTGCACTCTTCATGGGACACCCAGCAGTGCTCATGTGATCATCCTGAGAATGGACAGGACACCTGGGATAATCTCTTATTCCTTGCAGAGTTTGAGTCTCTGAGGGGGAATAGGGACTTTTGGCCCTGACCTAAGTGGAGGCCGAGGGACTTAGAAGAGCTGGAATCAGAGCACCACACACATTGTGTGTGAGGCAGAGAAGAAGGCCTGAGAGCAAAAGTCATGGAGCCCAAGGATGTTGCAGGGGTCAAAGGGGACCGATGATCAGTACTTCAGAGACTGTCTTCCCTTCCATTCCCTCAAAGACTTCATCCTTTAACTGTCCCAGCGAACAGGGTGGATACTCAAGAGACACTCTCTGGTACAGGATCCGGAAACCAGGAAGATTCTTGGCACACAGGACTAGCGGGAGGGCGATATTATAGCGTTGGTCCCTTTTTCCTCCACTACTTGTGCATGGCCAGCCCGGGAGATCTACGGGAGATGGTGAAGGCGCCCTGTGGCCCCTGGTACCCGCGCGCTGCAGCGTCTCCTTCCCGTTCTCCAGGTATCTGTGGAGCCACTCCACGCACCCGCCCTTCAGGTAGGTGCTGAACTCCTCGGCATAGTTCTCTGCCTCCCACTTGCGCTGGGTGATCTGAGCGGCCACGTCCGCCGCGGTCCAGGAGCGCAGGTCCTCGTTCAGGGAGATGTAGTCCTTGCCGTCGTAGGCGTGCTGGTGATACCCGCGGAGGAAGCGTCCATCGGGCCCCACGTCACAGCCATTCGTTCCCTGGAGGGTGTGAGACCCTGGCCCCGCCCCCGCGGTCAGCCCCGCCCACCGAGCCCCGCCCCCGCCCGACCAACCCGCGGGGATTTTGGCTTAAACGGAAAATGAAACCGGGTAAAGGCGCCTGGAGCTCTCCCGGGTGGAGAATCTGGGCAGGTCCCGTAGTCTCGGGGTGGATCTCGGACGGGAAACTCGGGGAGACCCAGGCCCTCCGTGGGGAATGCAGTGGGGTCGTGACCTGTTCCCCCACCCGGAGTCGCTCACCGCCCTCGCTCTGGTTGTAGTAGCGAAGCAGTTTCCGCAGGGCCACGCGGTCAGTTCTGTGCGTTGGCCTTGACGACCCCTGTCTGGTCCTCCCAATACTCCGGCCCCTCCTGCTCCACCCACGGCGCCCGCGGCTCCATCCTCGGACTCGGGTCGTCGCTGTCGAACCGCACGAACGGCGTGTCATCCACGTAGCCCACACCGATGTACCTGTATCGGGGCTCCCCGCGGCCGGGCCGGGACGTGGCGGTGCTGAAATACCTCAAGGAGTGGGACCCTGGGGGCGAGAAGGGTCTGAGGCCCACCTGATCCCTCCTCCCAGCCTGGCTCCCCGGGTCCTGCGCCCCCGCTGGGCAGGCCCCTCGCTCCTCCCCGCAGAGGCCGTTTCCCTCCCGACCCTGCACTCACCAGCCCAGGTCTTGGTGACGGTCAGGGCCCCCAAGAGCAGTAGGAGGAGGGTTCGGGGCGCCATGACCCCAACCTCCGCATTTGGGGAGACTCTGAGTCACAGTGGGTGCGTGAGGACTTTAGAATCGGGACCACGGCCACGCTGATTGGCTTCTATAGAATCCCAACACCCAAGGGGAGTGAGAACTGGGTCTGCGTCATGAGTATCCTGGAAGAAGAACCCGACACAAGTTGGGAAAGAAAGAGAAACTCTGTGGAGATGGGGAATCCCCAAATGCTGAGCCTCCACACCCCGGACCTGAGCCACTGAGAGCCGCGCCTGGGGCGCTGGGACTTCACTCTGAACGTCCTCCTCCTGTGCAGGGTGTGTCTCAGGGTCTCCCTGAGCCTTCGCCCGGAGGCTGAGAAACCAGGGAGAAACCTTCGCATGGAACCCAGTCTCTCTACCTTCACTTTTCCTCCCGGAATCCCTGTCCCTGGACTGAACGTTCTGCCTCCCACTCTGTAGCTGGACTCCCCTGGACTCTTTTGGAAGAAAACTCACTCCAGGAAGCTTGGCGCCAGGGAGTGAGCTTGGACTGGGAATGGAGGTGTAGAGACAGTTTTTATTTTTTCTTCTTTAAATCTGGAAAAGGTGTGCCTGAGTTCATGAGACAGAACGGAGACCAGTTTCGTTTTTATTAGCTGCAGTGAATAGTAGAATCTTGGTAAGCTTTGGATGATCAGGAATCTTATCTGTAAAAATGGTTACTTTGGCCCCTTGATATATAAATGTGTCTAAATATATTACAACCGACAACTCACAGAGCTCCTGTTTTGCTTTCCAAGACTATGTATCTGTGACTCTTATTGTAGTTTAAAATTACCTTCATTCCACTGCCTTGAGTTTCTGTGTGAGTCCCGGACATCTCTTCAATACAAAGTACACACTGTGTTACTGTATGTTGCAACCAGGAGCCAGTACAGACTTCATTCACCTCACAGTCGCAAGTGTTCAATGCAGTCACAATGCCCCCACCAGTGCTCATGCACTGCCTGCTTTTAGGAAGTGTCCGCAACTAAGTGCTGTGCATATTTTATTGGAACACTTAGTATTTTTTAAAACCTGAAAAAAAGCATAAAAAGCAGTTAGTTTTGAGGCAGTCTTACACAGGGTGTTAAAGACCAAATGCAAGGAACACCCTGCTAGGCTCTGTAGATGGATGTATTAAAAATCTGTAAAACAATGTGTTTAAACCTAAGAATTCTGCTGCTTTCGAATTCTTTCCCTCTGTTCCTTTTACTCGCCTCCTGCTTCTCCAGCCCTTCCCTCCGTCCCTATCATCCCTCTCATCCCTCAGGGCTTCCTCTCCCTTTATTCCCCACCACCCTGTCACTCCTGAATTGTGACTCTAACACTGTCCTATTACCTGCTACATGACTGTTCTCTCCACAGTGATCCTGCTACTGTGAGTCAGAGTGTGTCATTTCTTCACCTAAAACACTACAGTGACTCCACCAATCTTGTGACGCTTCTAGTATGTCAGGCACGTGAGCATATGAGGGCATACCTGGTTCAGCTTAGGGACTAAATTAATTTTTCTTGGCTGCCTGAGTGAAATATGATTATTTTAAAATTTAATTGCATCACAGAATATTATACAATGAAAAATACTTGGAAAAGAGAGTATTCTATTTTAGGCATGTAGTGTGCCTATAAATTTATAAATTCATTCTGTGTGTCTGTTGAGCCTGTGTATGAATTTTATATGACTGCGGAACAAATTGCCACAACATTGGCTTTAAACAATGCCCTTTAATTGTACTTATTTATTTATTTATTTATTTATTTATTTATTTATTTTTAGAGACAGAGTCTCTCTCTGTCATTCAGGGTGAAGTGCAGTTGCATGATAATGGCTCACTGCAGCCTCAAACTCCTGGGCTCTAGGGTCCCCCTGCCTCAGTCTGCTGAGTAGCTAAGACTACAGGGAAGTGCCACCATGCTCAACTAAATCCTTTTTTAAAAAATCTTTTTTGTAAAGAAGCTCTCCCTGTAGGACTGAGAGTCCCACAGGTTCATGGGGTGTCCCTTATGCTGTGCTGAGGTGCAGGATCCCAGAAATAAAGACACAGGACACAGAAGTACAAGGAAAATGCAGCTGGGCTCGAGGGGCCACACCACCTATGAGCGGGGTCAGGCGAGGCCCCAAATATCCAGACGCATGTATATTGATTGTGTATGGATTAAGGGGCAGGGCAGTGGGTGAAATCATCTTTAAGGATAGTGATAGGGTCATGAGCAATAAAACAAGGGGTCCACCCCCATTAGGTCACTGAGGCATGGAGGTGGACTGTGTGCAGTGAAGAGGTGCAGTGTGCAATATCTCTATCTATGGGCAAGCTACTTCTAATTTTTGTAGGAGGATGCTTTAAATCACACAGCAGTGACAGAGCTGTCAGGGTTACTGCCACCTGCTGGCAGCTTCCAATGAGTTCTATAGAAAGATGCTTTTGAGCAGCATAGTAACAAGAGCTGATAAAGTTCACAGTCACCAAAGTGCAATTACCGGTCTAAGGGCAGCCTTCCACAAGAACTGGAACAAAGTCCTACAACTTCTTTATCAGGAGGAGTGGCTCTTGCCCCAAGCCTGCCATACAGCGGGTATCTTTACAATACTGAACGCTGCCACGTGGGCCATGGGCTCTTGTCCTGGTATAACTGTTTTCCCTTAAATCATGCTCCACACTGTGTCTGTTCCAGACATCCCTCTGATTATAAGCTGCTTATTCCTTAATTCATGCTCTGTACTGTGTCTACTCTAGGCATTCCTCCAATTATAAACTAATATATATATATATATATATATATATGAAAATAACTGAGGGGTAGGATATTCTCTAGACACTCATTCTATGAACTAACATATGATTATATAGAGAGGATTATATAAAGGGAAATAACTAAGTAGTGACACTATAAACTGAGATATTCTCCAAGGCCTAATTCTGTAAACTAATATTTGATTACATAAAGAATTATATAAAAGGAAATTACTAATAACACTATAGACTGAGATATTCTTCAGGCCTTAATTGTGCCAGGATTCTGCTTAGCTCTCCTTCCTATATGGGGGTTGCCCACATCTCCCAGATTGCCCAGGCTAGTCTCAAATTCCTGGTTGCAAGTCATCCTCCTCCATCATTTGCATAAACCTTAGGATTACAGTGGTGAGCTACCGTGCCTGAACAAACCACTTATTTATTTATTTACAGTTCCTCAGTCAGGAACCTGGGCATGATTGGAGGGTTCTCTGTTTAGGGACTTCCCCAAGCTGTGTTTTCATTCTGAGGGCCTCCTTCAGGCTTATACAGAGGCGACAGAATTCAGTTTCCGGAAGTTGTAGGACTGAGGTTCCTGCTCCTTGCCTGCTGTCAGGGTAGAGAGAGGCTTCTCTCAATTCCTGCTGCCCACCAGCATTCTTTGCCACACAGTGGAGGAAACCCCTCATGCTGAATCCCTCTCACACTGTGAATCTCTATGCTCAGGAAGAACCCAGTCCTTGCAAGGGCTGGCCAGATGAGGACTGGCCCGAACCAGGATAGTCCCTGTCTTAAACTCAATTGATTTAGGATCTCAATTGCATATGTAAAAATCCCTTCAAGGCAGCACCTACGTTATTGTTGGTTGAATAACTGGGGGCAGGTGAATGACCAGGGGCACAGGTCTATCATGGGGACCGTGATAGAATCAGCCTAGCATGGCCTGGGTCTTTCTTTTGACTTTAATTGGGACACAGTTGGAAATTGAAGTTAAAATAAAGCAATCACTGTGAATGACAACAAAATGCATCACATTTAGCCATGGAAATTCTTCTTATCTCTTAAAACCAAATGTCATGTTTAATATTCTATAATCAATTTAGTCCGGAAGTCGTGGCGCATGCCTATAATACCAGCACTTTCAGAAGCAGAGTCAGGCAGAGAGCTTAATTTCACAAGTTCAAGATCAGCCAAGGCAGCATGGCAAAACCTTTATCTCTACCAAAAATATAAAAATTGTAGTCAGGCATGGTGATGCATGCCTGTACTCCCAGCAACTCAGACAGCTGAGGTGGGAAGATCACTTGAGTCCAGAAGGTTGAAGCTGCAGTGAGCTGTCATCCTGCCACAGCACTCCCACCTGAGTGACAGAGCAAGACCCTGTCTCAATAATAATGATGATGATAACAATACTAATAAATTTAGAGCAAATGAAAATTAAAGTGCAATTATTCATCCTCTCTTTTGAAGCTGTATTAGTTATTTACTGTTGTATAACAAATTACTGGAAACTTAACAGCTCCCACATTTTTCAATACTCAGGAACCCAGGAGAGGTTTCCCTGAGTGCTTCTGGCTCAGGGCCTCTCACAAGGTTGCAGCCTAGTTGTCGGCCAAGGCTGCATCATCTGAGCATTCAACTGGAGCTGGGAATCCACGTGAAACATGGCTCAGTCAAATGGCCATTGCAGAAGGCCTTGTTCCTTGTTGTCTGGTCCCAGGAGTTCTCAGTTCTTAGCCACATGGACCTTCCTGTGCTCATGACACAGCATCTGGCTTCCCCCAGAGTTCATGATCCCAGAGACACAGAGAGAGAAGGGGGAAGTCACTGTGAGTTTTATATTCCACACTCAGAAACACAAACTCTTATGTCAGCATTACTCTATCTGTTAGAAGTTGTATCAGTCTGCTCTCACACTGAGATAACTGAGACTGGGTAATTTATAAAGGAAAGAAATTTAACTGACTCACAGATTCTGCATGAGGAGGCAGCCTCAGGAAACTTACCTTCATGGCAGAAGGAGAAGCAAATGTGTCCTTCATCACATGGTTTCAGGAGAGAGAAATGCAGAGCAAAGTGAGGAAAAGCCCCTTATAAAACCATCAGATCTCATGAGAACTCACTCATTATTATGAGAACAGCATGGGGAACCATCCCATGATCCAATCAGCTTCCAAAAGGTCCCTCCCCCAGCACATGGGAATTACAATTCACATGTCCATTCAAGATGAGATTTGTGTGGGGACACAGAGCCAGACCATTTCAGAATTGCATCATTAAGTCCAAGCCCCACTCACAGGGAGGGAGGGAATTAAGCAGCGTCTCTGGA